CCTTGGTTGGATCTTCTGTTTTTGTAAGAGAACAAAAATCAGCTGCCTCAATATATGATTCGGCCTCCCGCAGAACACCTGCGTATGTTTGAATCTTTTTCCTGATCAGATCAAATTGTAAACCATTTTGCCTTAATCCTCGGATAAACTCAGAGTAGGCCATTTCATCCGGCAGATTCTGAATTTTTTCCTTCTCCGATCCATATTCAACCTCTTACATACGAACGCAGCCCCTCTTTCTTCCCTTGGACGATGGTTGCCAAGTTAAGACTAGTCTTACAGGATGGTATATTGTAGAACAATAAGCTAAGAGTTGTGAAGTAGTTGATGCATCCGGCCGACAGACTATTAAACCAGTCTTGAGCCACACCCTTAAGGTTGGCCGGGAAGCATTTGCACTAGGTGGCATCATCCACACTTTGCATGTACATTAAATTTTTGTACGAGGAGATGTGTTCTTCTGGGTTGCCCGTACCGTCATAAGCACGTACAAGTACACTCTTCACTTTAGCTGGATGAGGAAAGTTGAGAATTTCTTGAGAAAACGGAGGGGGCTTGTCACCAAGGTTCAACAAGCGCATTTGCCAATCAATAGGCTGAGGTTGTGCGACCGATCCGCTCAGGTACCCGTCCTGGTTATACGGCGGGCCATATTGCCCATACTACCCATATGTTGAAGTTATAGGCAGCAATACTGCACCATAATCATGGGGCATCTGAAACTTAAGTGGTTGTGTTAAAGGAACTGGAGTTGAAGTACGATGAGCTTGACTCCTGCTGGTCCTGGCCGAGCTAGTATGCTTGGAGAGTGTGTGGTTGGAGAATTCATCCGGCATGGTAGGAGTGGAGGCAGTATCCAAGTAGTGTGTGTGCTCCTGCAGCTTGTGTCGGAGATTGTCTCTAGCATCTTTCCAGCGCTGGGACGACTCGTTTGGCTGCCTCTGAGGCTGCTTGGTCTGCCCCTCAGCCGACTGTGTTTTCTCAAGGAGCCTGGACCAGTTCATCCGGGGCACCCTTGGTGACCTTGCATGTCTCCTGAATGGAGTATTCTCGGCGTCCTCAGTATTAGTCGTCTTGCCCTGGGGTTTCTTTCGGACACCCTCTCCCTCTCTTTTGGACAGCTTTCTAGAAGAAGAGGGGATCTTACCCTCAAGCTCCTTTTGGAGCTTTTCCAATGCGGTCTTTAAGGAAGCAGCCTTGACAAGTGAATTCTCTACCTAATGAAATGAAACGGTCAAAGGATCGCTAGTGTTGATTGTTGCAATAAGATTCTCTACATGGTCGTCTTGACCAGGACCAGGTGTCTGACCATCTTTAGCCATTTTAGACGTGTATCCCCAATGGTGGCGCCAAATGTTTCGGGGTTTTTCGGAATCCCTCGAGATACAGGTCTTGAATATAGTCGGATGGTCTTGGACACCTGGAAAACAAGGAATAATCCGTTTGACGGAATATTCGCCTCCGACGATCAAGTTAGTGACCAGAAAACAAAGTAATTTAGAGAGAGAAAGTAGAGAGAAGTTGGGGCAATTTAATACTCTTGAATGATATGTTTTAATCCACCCCTCCCATCATAAATGATTGGGGTATTTATAGGGGTAGGAATGTGTGCCAGTTTAGGGTTAGTACCCTAAAAAGGTGGGCTCTGATTGGCGGCGCAATCAGGAGAGGACAAGTGTCCTTCTGGGGGCGTCGTTTAAGCGCCTTTCTCGGGAATTGGGCCTCCTGATGCAAGGAGGCATTTCTCTCATTTATTTGTTCTTAGGGTTGCCACGTGTCATTTTCCTATAGGGACATGTGTCGCCCTTTTATTAGGTCACGTGTCACTATGGGATTGGATCACGTGCTGGGGTATTTTTTACCCTAAACACCTGTTATACCATTCCCAAACCCTATCACGAGATTCTCTTGTTGCCACCTTTTTTGTTGTTCTTATGCTCTACTTGTAGCGATATTAGGTTTGTGCTAGGATCTTCTTGTTCAATTCAATTTTTAAAAAAATGATCACGAGTTGATATTTTTTTAGATAGCTTTGTCAAAAATCTCAAGATTTGAGATTCGAGTCCAATTTGGCAAGTAAAATTACGATTACATTGGAAAAACATTGGGCCCTCATTCCTGTGAGAACATCGGCTTAAACTCTTCTCACATACAAGTTCAGCGGTCCAAAACATCTCCTTGTTCCTTATTAATTCACCAACAACCCCTTTGTTTTCTCCTGTGCTTTCTCACTTACTTTTTTTACAGATGACCCTTTATTTTTTTCAAAACAATTGATCAGAGTTTCCAGGTGATTACGAATATTCTGGAAAGATTCTACATTATGTTAGGTTAATAGTTAAATCTTGAAAAATCGCATTTAAAGGTCAATCCTAATACGCCTATTTCGGAACAACAAAGTTTTAAAAAACCTCTTGGGAATAGGTTAGGTTGACCCATTTGGGACACATTTAGGGATACCTATTGATATGGTCAGGCAAAAGGCCAAGACTTTTCAATTTATAGTGGATAAACATTGGGAAAAGGATTTCGACCTGGAATATAGTTTTTGTCACTACTACAAAAGCTTATATTGATCTGTGTTAATGGCGATCACTTCACATGTTACGTAGTGCTTTGAGAAGCCTACTTCAATTGCGAATAAGGTGGATTCTTTATTATCTAGATTTTTCTAGGCTATCAAGGAGCATAAGGGTATACATTAGGTTGATAAAGACATCATGAATCTCCCGAAAGGATTAGGGGGTTTGGGAATTCATAGCTTGATTTCTTTCAGTAAGCTTTATTAATGAAATAGGTTTAGAGGATTAGTCACAATCCACAACTTCTGCTTTCAAAGGTGTGTGTGACTAAACTTAAGTCTCTTATTCATGGAAGAATTCCTGTGTCGCTCAAGAACAAAGGTTACTCTTTTGGAATGCAGGATCTAGCACTGGCTGGATATACGCTTGTCAAGGGGTGTGGTTGGAAGGTGTGAAATGGAAAGCCCATCGTAGCAGGCAAGGATAGATGGATGGCGGCTAAGGTGTCAGAATGCGAATTTCGCGTGATGATGGTTCAAGCTAAGAATTGGAGGATCAAAGAATTTTTTGGAGCCATTGTGCGGTGGCTAGAATCAAGCCAAACTTCGCGACTGTATTGAAGTTAGTGATGTCTCTATTATTGGGAGATGAGCTTGGAGATACCAGATCATAATACGGAGGACTATCTGTACTGGGCATATCATAAGCCGGGTTGTTTTACGGTCAAGACGGGGAATGCTTTTTTCAAACAAATTAATCTAGATATGTCTGCTATAGGTCCATTGACATTGATAAAGTCTTATGGTCTTGGAACATTCTCCCGAAGTGGAAATTATTATAGGGTGGAAGGAATACAGTACCTTATTAGGTTATGTAAGTCTGCTAAGGATGCATAGAGGGGTGTGGCATTTACAAATCCGCTCAGAAGTTAATGTAGACCAGTCTTGTCTAGACTGGATTCTGTACTTGTGGACACCTACATTCGGCCTTCTGTCCCAAAAGGAAGTGCAATGATGATACAAAAATTCGTTCTTCAAGTTAGATCAAAGTTGAAGTGTTGAGGGATATCGAATGTCATATAAAGTAAGTTTTGAGACTTCAATCCGCTTATTAATTAGGCTTAAAGTACACTCGCACATAATTAATTTTGATTAATAACAGACCTAAACACGTCAAATCCAGTGCTTAGGTCTAATGGACCTTACAAACCGAGCCAAGAAATTAACCAAACATCATAAAATTTGTGCAAGGTCTATATAGGTGGATAGCACTTTCAAAGAGCTTTCCAACTATATTATAAGCCCTATTCTAACTTATAACGAAATGGATATGATCAAAAAACTAAACTGGGCCCAAAACTGACACCCTTTAATAAATCGTTCGTATCTTAAAATCCACAAAAGCTTTTGAACTAACTTCGATTGATTTGGAAAGTAGACTCCAAAGCTTCCAACCCTATCTTATTTGCCTCATTCCGAATTCTGAATCAAAAGTTATGTAAGTTTTACTAACACCGCATTTTTTAACAAGGCAAGTCGGGCACGCATGATTGTTGAGCGAGACTCCTAGCTAGAGTTACACACAACACCTGAGCACAACTTTCTTTGTTACGCGCGCCTCGTGACGTGACGTCACTTAAACCCTAACCCTAGAGTCCTACACCTATATATACATAGGGGTCACGATTAGACCTCAATACACTAAAAAAAACTTAGAAAATTGACTGCGAAGTTCTTAAACCTTAATCTCATATATCCTCATATTATTCTCATACTACTCTCATATTACTTTCTCATATTTCCCAAACACATTCAACCCTAATTAATTTATTCGAAGTTTTTAGAGGTTAAGGTGAAAGAGGAAGTCCATAAACACGCAAGACGGAGGTTTAGTTAAAAGGAGAATGATTAGTTTCCTAAGCACTTAGTTAAATCACTTTCCTAACTTCTCTACACCCCTTTTTAACAAAATTCCTAACTTCGCTACACCCCTTTTTAACAAAAATTCCCCCTCTACAGAAAGAAAAAGAAAAAAAAATTAGAGGTCCAAAAGGGGACATAATACATACATTAATTGAGAACAGGAAACCAGCCAATCTCACTAAAAAAAAGAAAAAAAAAAGTTATGAAAAAAAAAAGTTATGGTGTTAGAAAAGAGATTTATACCTCCAACATTGTTTAGTAGCACATACTCCATACTCCCTCCGTCCCATAATACTTGACACAGTTATCATTTTCGTTGGTCCAAAAATACTTGACACGTTACTAAATATGGAATGAGACCACTAAAAAAAAATATTTTCCTATACTCTCTTTAGGATCACAAACCCTAAAACCCAATTAAATCCTATATTTTCTCTCTCCTCACTATCCCCACCTCCCCACTTTTTGTTTTTTTACAATATAAAAATACAAGAGAATCCTTTATATAATAAACAAATATTTTAAATGAACTAATTTGTAATTTTCTTAAATTACGTGTCCACTCCAACGTCGCAAGTATTATAGAACGGAGGGAGTAGCATCATAGCATTACATGTCATTCACTACATTAGTAGTACATAACTAATTATACATGACCTTAACCATAAAAATTTCGCAAATGAATACACTGAAGGGTGGCATTCAAGTCCGGTTAGGTTATTGAGCATGAACAACGATTGCCTGCAGCTGATATTTACATAATCAGAGCTTGAAGCCGCGGCAACATCTTGATGTCTTCAGCCTTTCATTGAAACCAGAAAAAAATGATAGCATCATTGCAGAACATCAATAGTTTGTTTAAATTTTCCTATTTCATATTTTTGTCATTTCCACTTTCGGAAAGTTTGGATCAAACCAACTAAAATAGAGGGTTGATCCAATAATTTGCAGTAATACAATTTTGAAAGTCAGGAGCGCTTTCTCACCAGCAGTGTCAGCTTTGTACAGTAGAAAATAATAGCTGATGATGGCTACCTAAGAATATCTAGAAAGCTTCGTTGGAGCTTTATATTTTCTCAACAGGCCTCAAAGAAATGAAGAAAATCAATATTCAATACCCTGCTATATTTGTTGCTTTGCTTGATTTCTTATCCTCGATTTCAGATCAACGACTATGATTGAGATGTTATCAGAACTGTTTCTCCCAATAGCAAGCTGCCTGAGATTATCAGCAACCACTTGTGCAGGACAAACATCACTGGATACTGTGGACCTTCGCATTCTCCTAAGGAGGCGGCGGGCAACCTCCCCTACCTCATCATTTGACATGACATCCCAAAGCCCATCACTTGCCAATATCAAACACTCGTCTTCATCACTTCTCGTCATGAAAGTGATCTCGGGCACTGGAATTATGTAAGGGCTCATATACCTATCACCTGAAACAGAAGTAATGCAACACATTAAAATCCAAATGCAAAGCCAAGTAGCTAATATATAAGTTAAATGCAATTTACGGTTCAAAATCTAAGTATTAAGTGAACAAGAGCTCGTATTTGAGACCAGGTTTCTTAGATATCTTTGAAGAAAAGAACAATGAACAAGAAATGAGTTGAATTACAAGCAGCCTATGTACAAATAGTACGGAGTACATACACATCGTCATACTTGAAGCTCTACGATGGCTAACTACTTTTATGTCCACCTGACAACCAATTTGGTATAAAGGTTTATATATTAAGAAATACTTGGTTTGACATGATAATTGTTGTGTCCTGTTACTTTGTCAGAACTCCAGAGTAACAAACAGGTAGCTGTACAAGTTCAAATCCCATCTCCGATCCACAACTAAAGCACCCTCAGAAAAGTAGTTAAAGACTTAAATTTATCAAGGGACTCCGGCAAGCAAAGAAGTGAGCCTGTAGTCAAAGAAATAAACTAAGGGGGCAACTGCTTTGAAAAGCCTAGTCCTTTGCTTAGCAATTATTGATTCATAAGCAGGGTAGGGCCAAATCCACTTACTAAGGCTTCATTGAGCTAAGTTCCATCCCTACTCCTTTTCATTCATTTTTCCAAGTAGGGAAATTCTTATTCGCAATGATGTATTGCATTGCCTTATGATAATGCATTTCCTTAATACAAGAGCCATAGGGACTTGTTGAAGTTCCACAAGAAGTTACGAGAATGCATGTCAGGGCCAAAATATACCAAGCTTGGTCCTTCACAAGAAATAAGGACCGCTCTCTATCAACAAACACAGAATTGAGATCAACAAAGATTTTCTGGTATTGCAGACAGCAATAGATGACAGGTGCAGCCTTTATTTTATTTTCCAATTTTTACTTTTTTTTACTCCAAGTTCTGCAGTGACTGGCAAGAAATATGTACAGTTAAACGGGTCATGTGAAGGAAAATCGTAAGAGTTAGTGAAGAAAGGGACCTATAGCTCGAGACATAGCAAGGACTCCAAGCACCCTAGCACCATGCCAGTTTATGACTCTCCCACCCTCTCCTTCAATTCTCGATAATTCATCAGCTCTATCTGGCTGTAAAACACACAGATACGTTTTAGTGACAATCATAGGAAATTGCGAAATTGGACAGCTAATTAAATAGTTATTATACAGGTACTACCAGTCACCAAGAGCAGGCAATGATGAGCATGCAATTTTTAGCACTACAAGATTTTTCAAGACATGCATGCATTGTGAACATGGGGACAGGTTTACAAGAGCACTCACCTAAAATGTGGAATGCCTATCAAAAACAGCTGACTTTTCTCTAGCAGACGAAATTAACAAATGGCAATTCATGTAGCGAAGTCTGCACCCACAAATGCAACTAACTGTAGGAATAGACAACATCTTGCTGTGCAATGCTAATCCTGTGGTGCTATTAGCACCCTAAACAAAGAAATTATTTGCATATATCAGACACATAAGAGAGATTAGGCGTCAACAACTTGTCTCACCTTGTGATCAACAGTCAAAGGAATGGTCTGTGTCCTTCTACAAAGAACAGCCCTTGAATCCCCACAATTGGACAAAATGATCTGACAACCAGAAACAACTGCTACAACAGCCGTGGATCCAACCATCTCTGAGGCTTTAGCTTCTGAGACAACCTTGTCATCGGCTCTCCGGAAGCCACTGGAAAATACTTGTTTCCACTTCTTCTGCCACTCAAATCCATCAACTCCTTCCCCATTCAACTCCTCTGCTATAACCTCATGCATCTGCTCGGCACAGAAGTCAGCAACCTGCCAACAAAGGGAGGAAGGATATTCACATCAACATATGGAAACACACTTATGTATATTGATTCTGCCATAGGAGGGGTGGAAGAGAGAGAGAGAGGGTGGGGGAGGGGGGGGGGATGCAATGTGGATATCTGCAGAGTATATGTGACCTGTGTAGCCTAAACTTCACACACTGGGTCTCAAGTATGAACATGATTGACAAACTTACGTGCACTCATTATAGTAGCTATCAAACATTCACTTTGCCATTGTTTCATCAGATTAATTAAAATAATCCAGTATTTGCCATGTTATACCCAAGTGTATATCTTACAAGATGATGCCACTCAAACCAAGTGCTGAACTCAGGATCAAAAACTAAAAGGGAATAGCACGAGCCACACTTCTAATTGAACCAAAAAATTTGGAAAAAAAAAACCGAATGCTCTAGATGAACTAACAATATTTATTTATTAACATATTACTCCCTCTATAATTTTACTACTTTACCTGCTTAAAATGTCAGGGACTTATTGTCAAAATTTGAAAATTTTACCCTGTTTGGTGATATAGATGTATAAAAAAAATGTAGTCAAGTGGAATCTTGTGAAATTTGTTATAATATTTATTTTTAGAATATCAACTTTAAGTCAGATCTAATATGTAATCAAATATATATATCCAACTATACAAAACCGTGAATTACAGATTTTAGCTGTGAATAAAGATATTGTTCTGAATGTATTCTACCAAAGACTTCTAGTTTTACAAAGTATAAGCACATATGGAATACTCTAGAATTTCCTTCTTCACACTTCCAACAAAATTGTAAAGATATGTAGACTTCCGATTATATATATAGTATATACCTTTGCTGCTTAATGGTTAATAAAATGGAAATATTAAATTTCATAGGAACCTTCCTAATATATTAGCTGGAACATCGTGTTGGGTTGGTCAAAGCCATCATAAACATGTAGCAGTTGGAAGCTAAAAAGCAATCAAGGTGGCTCTCTTAATGGAGAGATTTAGATCCATCCACATCCAGAAAAAGATTATCTATGTTATTGTATTCTAATGAACTTTCATTGACCTCCTTATTGCCTGCCACGTATGAGTCTAAATGTCTAATTAGCTTAAACAATACCAAATTTCTGGTCATGTACTTTTAGCATTTGTTTAATCTTAAGCTAATCAACAGAAGCGGAAAGAGATCAGCTCAGTCAACTTTTAAGGAATAAGAAAAGATCTAAACATAGTATACACATAATTAGTAAGTCTAGATTTGTCTTTTACTATATCCTCGCTGGTTCCTGATATTTTACCATTGAAAACGCTAGCTTACCATAAATCTTTATTTTTTAAAGATGACTTGCCTATTTTATAACTGGTATTTAAACTTTCAGGTCTACCACGAATGAGCACGCGAACAACCCAAGAAACTACCAAATAATGAAGCTTTTAAGTTTTAAGCATGAAACCAAAGTACACACCTTTCAAACAAGAAAAGAAAAAAAAAATATGCACCAGGAAAGGGGAACAAAATGTCAAAATTAACCTGCTCCAACTGATGTACAGCTAAAACAAGATCCAGGTTACCACAAGGTTGAAAACTATAGAGGTTCTGAAAACAAGATATTACGGAGTAATATATAGTAATAAGATACTTAAAGGAGGAAAAGGGAAGAAAAGGCAAGTCCAAAGAACCAATAGCCATCGTCTTAGGACTGGAACAATAACACGTGGCTGCTGCGGGATAAAGGTGCCGTCAGTTCTATTTAATTTGACCTAAAGAAAGCTCAACACTTGCATATTCCTTGTCATCGTGTTCATAGACCAATAACAGGATGCAAAAAAATCTATATTCCAATAGTTTACCAGCTACTATATTTAAGACCACAAAACAGCAATTTCAAATCCTCTCTGATTATTCAGGTAAAGAATCTTTTACGGTACACACCAATCCCAACATAAATTGGTTCAAGCTAATAATTACAAAGTACATATATATTTAACAGTATCAATCAAGGATTCAAGGATCAACCAAGATTGTTCTTTCTTCCATCCAAAGAAGTCATTTTTTGGCAGATTTCCGCAATTGATTAGACCAAATACTCAGCAGCTGTCATCTACTTCATCACTGCAACATAGTATACCCGCAATTCCATTTCTACCTAAGGTTAAGCCATTAAGGCCATTTAAATCCTATTCCCATAATGCGCAAGGGAATAAGCATCATGATTGGTACCCCTTATAGTAAATAACAAAGTTAACCACATGAATCAATTAAGTTTAATTTCAACTTAGTGTCATTACCAGGTTCCATATGTGGGTATTGGATGCAGTTCCTAGATTTTCAAAAAAAAAAAAAAAAAAAAAAAATCAATCATTGCACCAACTTGACACTCACAAAAATTTCTCCTTCCTGTTTAAAAAGATTTAAACTAACTAATTTCTTCACGTATTTCTCTATTCATACACCAAAATTGATAATCATGTTTCATAGAACACCCACACCTTATTCTTTATTTACCTTTCTTTGGGTTTAGAACGGCTACAAAGAGCGAAGACGAGATTCAATCCCTCAAAAACATTACTAACTACACACCCTGATGGCCTGATCTATACTAGAAGGCTCAAATTCCAACTAAATCATCGGACATTTGCAATGAGAAACAAAAGTCTGACTATAAATATTCCAGAATTTCACATCAAACCCCAAAATTCACACAAAAATAACATATTAACGTGTGCATCATAATTTCATACTTCGTATCATAGATGAAAAATCTATTACTACGATTATATATTACCACTTACCAAACAAGCTGTTAATAACAATAATTCGACATCCAACACGTCAAAATTCATGATATTATAAAACTCCGTTTCTATAATTACAAAAAAAAAAAAAAAAAAAAAAAAAAAAAAAAAAAAAAGAGTGATAATAATTGGAAAGAGGAAAAGGAAGGAAGAATACCTCGGGACCACCATGACCATCAAAAACACCGAAGAAATGAAGAGGAGAGAGTTCAAGGGAGGTTCTAGAAGCAGGAGCAGTACAACCACCCACGTGAGAGCACGTGCTGGAGACAAACCCAGGGACCACCGCAACAGCATCCTCCATTTCAGCTCTCCGACCAATTACACAGGTATATCCCCAGGTTACCCTGTCATGTCTCCCAACACACTTCTCTCTCGCCGGAGATTCGCCGGATATTCCAACCACTGTCTCCGGAATCTCGCCGGAACTTCCGCTACTCATCGCCGACGACGAAGAAGATGATGATGATGACGACGTCAAAGCTTCTTCGCCGGAGAAGATGGAGCTCTCGTCGGAGGAAGAGGATTCCATTGATGGGGGAGGAGAGAGAAGGTAGAGAGAGAGAAAAAAAAGAGGAGAGAGAAAGTTGGGAGACGAGAAGAGAGGAAAGGGAGAAGGAAAGAGGGGAGAATAAAAATGAAGAAAAGAAAAGGTGGGGTGGGGGATTGACGAATAAGGAAAGGGCACGTGGAGGAGAGAGAAAATAGGTTTTTAAATTTTGGGGTTTTTTTTTTTTTTTCTCTTTGGATTTTGAATAAAAATGGAAATGACTTGAATTTACTTTGGGATGATTAGATTTTGGGGAATAGTGAAAAGTCGTACTTGTTATTTCAGCTGCTTTTTGGCTTGTCTACGCCACGTGTCTTTCTTCTTTCTTTTTCTTAGTTTTAATTTAATGTCGGAATTTTTATTTTTATTTTTTTTTTGGGGGGGGGGGGGGGAACGTGGTTTTGAGCTCCAATCAGCAATCAGTCGTCACAACTTACACGACACTTTCGTAGATTAATTTATTTTTTTAGCAATATAATTTGTATGCATTCCTTAAAATACAAACAAATTACTCTTCTTTGTCTCTAACGTTGAAAAATAATACCTTAAATTATTTCTTTATTAATTTATTAGATCATTGAAGCATTAAAAATTTACAAAATAACATGTTCTTCCGCGTTAGGATGCATGATAAAATCTTATTGCTTGTTTCCTAAAAATAAAAATAAAAAATCTTATTGCTTGATAAACTACGAAACAATACGAGTAATATTCTTGATCTCTACGTGGTACAAGAACGGGATATAAAACTTGATTTTCACTAATGAATTTCTATGCATCACATCCATGGGAGATCTGTCCAAGCTCTTGAAATGGAATGGCTTTCATGACATCGATTGCAATCAATTGTCGTGAAGAGCTGGTTATTGGGCGGGTCGGGTCAGGGTCGGTGCGGGTCAGTTGCGGGTCAGGGTCAAAGAGGGTCACATTTTTTAGGGTCAATATAGGGTCGGGCCAATGCGGGTTGCGGGTCGATAATGGGCGGGCCTACAAAATATCAATTAAAATATATATTGGACAAAGCCATGATTAAATACATATGAATACAAATTAATCTATATAATTATTTTTACATTATGTATTTTATTTATCAACCAAATTGGAAAAACATGTTGGCCCTATATTGACCCTACCCAATAAGGACCCTGTCCATTAATAGCCCTGTCCATTAAAAGCCCTATGAGCTTGGCTCTGACCCTATTATCATTGGGCTACCCTGTCCAATAACCACCTCACTCGTGATTAAACTTAATTTTCATATTGCGGAAAAATCTAATTCATGTCCACGTTTGTATTCGTTTATAACCAAGTTTTTAAGCGATAGGAAATCTTAGGGATACTAAAGAACTGTGTTTGAGCCTTGAGTATGGGGACCTCAACCAATCTTATGGTTTTATTCTATATGCAAGCTACCCGGCTTCAATAAATGAAATAGGGAACTATATATGAAATTAATGGCCTTGCTTATTGTGAGGTTATCAGTGGCTTTTGGTGACTTGATTATTATAATTAAAGGGATCTCACTAACGAGCGTTTCAAGGCATTAGATAAATAACTAACACTACAAGAAAATTATCTTTTTGTAACGATTATTTCAAAAATAAGCTATGACATATTTTATGTATTACTTGTCAAACAATATTTGTATATCTAGCATAGAAAAGGTTTTTCGTATCGATTTTTGGGTTTTAGTGGCGATTATAAACGATACAATTTCCAATTATTTTATAAATGTGCAAAAAAAGGGTGGGTATGTATTATTATGTTTTTCGTATCAATTTTAAATGGGATTACCATGATTGTAAAATGATACGATTTTCTCTACAAATTCACAAACATACATGCATATTGTAGTGAATGTACAATCACTACAATATAATGGCTACGAAAAGACATTTTTCTTGTAGTGTAATATATTACCTGTAATAGTATTAAGTTTAAAATACATGTCAAAATCAAGCGTCAAACAATACAATAATTAATTTAATATTTTATTATATTATAAAATAATATTTCCACTTTTAGTTCTCTTATCTAACATACTGGGACGTTCATTAGACAATTTTTTAGATAAGTTTATTAAGCAATATGACAATGACAACTAAATAATTCCACCATTTTTCTCAAATTGTTTTATAGTTCACACACACTTTTCATTTTAGATTGTCGCACATAAGTTTCACACTCATCAACATAAATTGAGACCATATTCAATCCACCATTTTTCCAGTTTTTCCTAAATACACACAAACTTATCTACTTTTATTTTTATTTTATTTTTTATTTTTTTTATTTTTCTTAAAAAAAAACGAAATACACTTATATCACATCAATATTTCTCGTGTACATTTATGAAATTATCTCTAGCCACTCACACGAGTCACATCTACTCTGTTTGATAACAATTAACATTATTTCCCCACCATTTATTGATCCAAAATTACGTGTCTAATAGAATGTCTATATTATTTATGGGACAACGTAAATACAGGGTAATAAATATCCCTCGATCAAAGATTAATTTTTACAATTTTATTTTCATTCATCTCCCATTGCTTCTATTTCTAAATCACTTACTGTGATTGTAATGTTTTTTTAATCAACTACTTAAAAGTTATTGAGTAAGATCCAATACTCTCTCAAATTCACTTGTAAAAATACCAGCCTGATATAGTATAAAACATATTCCTGGGATTCAATTATAAGTTATCTCTACTTTTAAGTGAAAAATTAGGTGCGGGGTTCGAAAAGGGTCCATGCTGCATCCACACTTCAAGCCCAACGAACTCTCATGTGCGAGGGCGTAATAGACTATAAAACATTTTTATGAGCTACAACACTAAACTTAAGTTTTTGGTTGTGTTGGTCCTCTAACATAGTCAATCCGTATTTCACATCAATACCCCAAAATTTCTTTCAATTCTATTTTTCCACCAAAATAACAATTGAAATTAGCACCATGATAGGTGTCAAAACAAGTTACTTACACCAAAATTACTGAAAATGATTTTGACACATCAAAATTGGTTTTGACACACCCCTATGTGAGAGTATTTTTTGCTCTTCTTGCATAGGGGGTACCAAAATTAATTTGTAATGTGGCAAAATCAATTTACTTACACCAAGATTACCAACCCATATATCCAAGGTATCCACAATAATGTGAGTATGTGACTAGTAAATGAGTGATGTCCAAGATTTTCACTCTTTCTTTAAATCTCCTTTGGATTCTAAAAAATATACTAACTAGGGTACGTGTCATGTAACTTAAGCATCAAGGGCCCACAAAACGTTTTTTTAACTTGACCTTACTTTTCACAAGTCAAGTTTATATCTTGGCACCTTTTGCTTATAGCCTACCCTCTTAACCTAAGCCAAAAAAACCTTCAGAAAAACTTTAAATAGCTACAATCTCTACCGTCCATTTGTACAATGTACTTCCAAATCGGACGGTTCAATTTTGTTCATTTAAAAAACGTTTCGTTTCGTAATTAAAGTGAATTTCTATTGGGTGAACAACAGAACAGCTCATTACTGTGGACCCCATGCTAAAACAAAAGTCAACATCAAACGATGATACGTCGTTTTTGGTTCTACCAAAAATCTTATTTGGGCTATTCATATGTTTACACGTTATGATGAATATGGCCCCGTTTATTTGACAAGTGTCCAAATGTTTTTCCTAAAGTTTTGGATTAAATCATTAAAGTACTAGTAAAGAAAAGGATTAGGAAAAAGAAATGTATACTAATCAAGATTTATACATTGTTTATTTGATTTGTTATCTATATGGATTGGTTTACTACCCGTTTTCAATTTTTGGTTTTGAGACTTTACAAGATAATAAATCATATGATTTTCGAGTTATACATTACTTGACTACTATTTAGGTAACTGTGAGGCTGAATTTTGATTTTAGTTTTTTTATAAGATAAACATTGCATAAAAGTATAAAACGATTAAATATTTCATATGATTTTTTAGTGTACAACTTTGCTTTCGACTTTCAATATACAAGTGACACAATTATGTTGAAAGTTGAAACAATGTATGTATGAATTTCAATTCATTTTAATTACTTCCTTTGTTATTTTTTACTTGATCTGTTTCTTTTATCACGTTTGTCAATGCAAAACTTTAACGATTAATAACTTTAATTCTCCATAAGTAAAAAAATTATAAAAGTTATATATTATGATAGTACTTATTGAGACGATTTCAAAAAAATCTCACGTGAATATGTTTTTCCTTACATGTTATTCACAAAAGACGGTCAAAGAAAGAGTGGTGAATAGTGTAAAGGCCAAAGAGGGTCAAGTTAAAAAGAACAGAGGAAGTATGTGATAGCGAATAATCGTTAAAGTTAAAATGTTGGTGATTTTAATTAGGCGAAAGTGAAGTACGAAAGGAGAGGAATTCATACATTTACAAAAATAACATATCATAAGAGTATCTCTAACGACAAGCTAATTGTCAAATTAACTTTCCATTCTACATTTGTAAGATTTCAAGCCAATTCGCTTTGCTGCTAAAGTTGGAGTCCATCTAGGCGCATAGAAGGGTAAAATAGTCAGGTACTTTTTATGGCTACAGTGGTACTTTTTGTATACTATTATGCATGTATATTATACCATTAGATTATAGATTGTCTTAGTGATACTATTATATCTCACATTGATATAATATTTGATGTACAATTTACTTACAAAGTACTTATTTGTACAACATTTAATGGTATCATTTATCTATTTGATGATACTTTATACTCACATTAATATTTACTCCTTCCGTTCATATTAATCGCAACACTTTCCTTTTACATCTATTTCGTATTAATTGCAACACTTCTATATTTGGAAAGGGCCCACCATTATTTTATAATTTCTCTCTCATATTAACCCCACTTTCACAAATATTTTATTACTAGGTTAAGTCCCGTGCCATGCACGGTCATAATTAAATTTAATTTTACAACAAATAAATTATAAAATAATGGTGTTAATTCAACAATAACTTATCCAAAATAATTATTTGTAACAAAATAACTTGAATTTTAGTTTATACCAATACCAAATATGTAAAGGTTGTTGAATTGGATTGTATAAAAAAAAAATATGTATATAGTAATAGAAATTAAGGTAGTTTTATATAAGAAAAACTAAATA